TTAAATTCTTAAATTCTTTTAATATTGATATTAATAGTAATATTTTTAACTAAAATAAGGTTTGTAATAAGAAGTTTTTGCATTAATATTAATTTTGGATTTTTGGGATTGATTCACTGGATGATGTTTTTGTTTTTTGAAAGACAAATGTGGACAAATATTAACCTAAAGAAGGATTAAATAAATTAATATTTTTATTTTTATTATTGGTGATGGTGGAAACTCCTCTTTATTATCTATATCTTTTATTTTGTTTGTATAATCTAATTTTCTTTGTAGTACTTTGTTTATAGTTATTATACAATATAAAATTTTTATTCATTTAAATTGAAATAACAAGCAGGTTTCCTTTTCCCAGAGGAGACATATTGCTATTACTAACGGTATAAATAACATACACGAGCGGCCACGGTCGTAAGATTGACCCTGCAGGGACCGATCATTTGGGCCTAGCAAACCCACAACTAAGAAGAAGAAGTCGTGTATATACGAAGAAATTTTGTTAAAATGCCGTCAGGCTGTGTTGTACCGAGTTGTGTCACAAATAAATATTCCACCGGAAAACGCTCAACATTTCAAGTGCCAACGGATGAGAATCTTCGGGCAAAATGGATAGCATCGATTCCTGGAGTAGAATCTTTGCGATCAACTCAACGTGTGTGTGAGAAGCACTTTGAAGAACATTTTATACTTAAAGAATTTATAAAATACGATAATAGTGGAAAAATTATTGCTCAGGTAAATTGTTAAAATATATTCAATATATGTAAACTAAATAATCTTTATTATATACTGTTATACATATATCTTTTTGGAAAATTTTTTCTGAAATACTTTATGTTGTACTTCATATAAAGTAAACTTATAAACTAGTAAATGATTTGTGTATGAAAAATATTTACTTCAAAAAAGTTGTTCTTTAAAAAATGTTAACTTGTCAGGTTCCGTTTAAACGTGCACGCTTGCAGCAAGGAGCTGTACCGACGATATTTCAGCAGTCTCCGTCAAAGTCAAGAAGCCCTCAAAAAGTTGTTGAAGTTCGTGTAAAAAATTACACTGACTATTCATATGCGCTACAAGAACGTAAGTTTAAATATATTAATTTTATTTTTATTAATGTTTTCGTATTCAATTTTATAAATTTTTCTTTAAAATTAAAGTTTCATAAATAATGATATTTGTAAACGTGCATAGAGTTTATAAAAATGTAATTAATAATTTACATCATGCAAATTATAAATGTCTATTTATAAATAATTTATGTTTAAGCCTCAACCTCTTCTCATTCAAGAGCAACAGTTGGATGTGAATTGGTTAACACACCAACAACTTCAAACTGTGATACCAATAACGTTGCTACTCAATGTAAGTGATTGATATGTTGTTTTAGAAAATGATTCAAATGATTTAAATAATAATTAATTATCGACTTTATACTAATAAAATGATTTTACATTCTTTAACAGCACTGGATGAGTTCGGAGATTATGAACAAATTTTATCTAACAATAATGAATGTTTGTCTGATTCAGATGTACATTGTCATTGTACGTATATTAATAAACTTTTTTTGGTAATTTTTATAAAAGCAGATAGTATGTTAGTGTTTGTACTTTTACTAATTAATTGATTATATAGTAGTAGATTCGTCAGCCATGGAGATTGAGTTACCTTATGAAGAAAGTAATGTTACAAAAGACAATATTGAAGCTCCGATGCACACAAATTCTGCGTGTTCGTTTACGACTGTCACGTTTGATTCTGTCAAATTTAACTTTAACGCTCAGCGTAAGTATGATGTAAAATATAAATTTTACGAATTCAATTGTGCACTATTAGTTTCCTAATACTTGTAATTTTTTAACTTAGAATTTGCTAAGCCTAAAAAAACAATGAAAAGGATTACAATTTTCCAATTTATCATGGTTTATTAAATTTACAAAATACTGTGTGCTTAAAAAAATTTTATATTAAATTTTATAAGTAATTTTTTTGCGTTAATGATTTATATTATGTATTTGATTTATTCTATTTTAAATAAGACATCAATTATATTTATATGCTACTTTATACAATGTAATTGAAAATAATGCTACGTTTAAATACAAAGGTAACTAAAAAGCATAATTAAATACCTTATTTTTTTTTAGCAGGAGATGATACTCTTGCAAACGATTGCTTTCTAGAATTGCCAAAACCGTGGAACGTTTGTAAATTGACAATGGAAAAAGAAGAAGTCTTTTTATTTACATATGTAGTAACAGCCAATGATCGCGGAACAGAAAAACATATATTTGAGAAAACTCTTATAATTACATCTTCCCGAGAAATTAAATATGAAATTTACATGACACCTGCTGATATTACGGGAACGAAACTGCCGCGAGTTTTAAACAACATATCAATGTTACCAGACATTTTACAAAAATTCAAAGACATGCGTGTTTGTAAAGGAATAACGTCCATCGGTTTAGAATGTGTGCCTGAAAACACTTCTTTGAAAGTCTGTGCTGGTGCAGATTGGCGTCACGCAGATTGCAAAATGTTATCTAAAAATAGAGAGGTGCAGTTCTTGTAAGAAATATTCTAACGCATTATTACAAAAGATTAGAAGAATGAAAAAAGGAACTAATATTAAGCGTGTTTCTGCATCTTCGAACCATTTTGATAAGATAAAGTTAAAAGCGATACGAAAAAAAAATGAGAAATCAACGGTTAACAGCTCATCGTTTAAAAAAAAAACTCGATCTAATAACAAATTATATCGCGAATCAGCAGGAAAAAGTTGCAAGCATGACTGACGATGATTTAGAAAAAATTTCCAAAAATCAAAAAATTGTAATAAGCGAAATTATTTTTGCTGCAAAAAAAAAAAGATCCAAGAGGCCGTCGTTATGCGGATGAATTCATTATGCTTTGCATGTTGATGAATATCAGATCGCAAAGTTATTATGAGTTCTTACGAAGAAACGATATAATTCCATTACCGTGCACTAAAACAGTTCGAAACTATATGTCATTAATGGGCACAAAATGTGGCTTTGATACAAATTTTTTCGAAATTCTCAAAAAATTTTTTGCAGCTAAAGATAAACAAAAACGTCACGGTGTTCTAGTGCTAGATGAAATAAATCTGAGAAAATCTGTTGCTGTATCTTCAAAAACATTAACATATACTGGCTTAACTGATTTCGGAGACGATGGACCACGAAGTTCAGACATTGAAGATTTGGCAACACATGGACTCGTCTTGCTATTTCAGTCCTTAACGGAGAAATGTACTCAGCCGATTGCAGTCTTCGCTTCCAAAAATTCTGTTGGGGGTGAAGACTTAGCGAAGATAGTATTAAAAGCAATATGTCTGATAGAAAATGCTGGTGCTGTAATACATGGAGTGATCGGGGATGGTGCTTCAACAAACAGACGAATGTGGAAAACTCTTGGTATTGATAGTAGCATTGATAATTTGCACAATTGGTTCACTAATCCACTTGATGAAGAAAGAAAAATATTTATGTTTCCGGATACGCCGCACTTAATAAAGTGCATTCGAAATAGGCTGTACAATAAAGGTCGTTTACGCGTACGTAATCAAATTATATACTATAAAGTGCAAAGTTACATACTGTGATGTTTTTTATATGCAAAATATTATTTTTATATTTAAGGTTAATTCGAAACATGATTACATACAATGGAAATACTTAGTTCGTTTGTATGATATAGATAATACTCAGCCAGGTAATGCTAGAGTGTGCTCAAAAATATCTAGGAGACATGTTGAACTGGACAACACAGCCAAAATGCGCGTACGATTTGCAACTCAAGTAAGATATTTTTACGTCTATCTTTGCATTACAATAATTTAAAAAACTGACAATTTGTCCATTTTCTTCATTACATAAATAACTTTAATACTGACATAACTTTAATACTGATATTTTAATTAAGTGTACGTTTCTTCTGTTAAATAAGTTTCTTTAAGACAATTTTATTTACTAATTATTTGACTTTACATTTATATTTGTCACATTCAAAGGTTTTTAGCAACTCTGTCGCAGTTGGATTACGTTTTTACTTGGCACACAATAGTGAGCAATTTCAAGGTTGTGAAGAGACAGTAGACTTTTGTTTGAGAATAAACAATTTATTTGATGCTTTAAATCGTAAGCAGCCAAATGAAGGATTAACCCCAGAATCAAAGGATTATAAGGTTACTGTTCATATTTTTACTATTTTAATGGTACAATGTTGAATCTTGATAAGGCTTCTTTTACACTCCTACAATATTTTAATTTTTTTATACAAAAAATATTTTATAAGTTAAAAATTATTTTATACGATACATTTAGTATTTTCTTTTATTATATCAAATTAAAAAAAAAATTAGGGAGAGCGAAAGTACGAGTCACTTAAGAAAAACAAAATAAAATAAATATTCATGCTTTTTCACTAAGAAAGGGTTGACTATACTCAAAATAAATTTCTTTTAAATATTTTTAAATAAAAGACCCACATGATCCATTAGTCACCATAAACCCGTTTTCTGAGTACACAAGTAGTAACCAAAGTTTATGATATACTTTTAAGGTGTTTAAAGAAATCGTTTACAAGAAGGCCGAAAAATCGTCTTACATAGATTCGTACTTTATTTTGAAAAATGTTAACCTACTTATGTCGAATATTTTTGGAAGGGACGCGATGAATGATGAGTCAAAAGATGTTAGATTAATGTCAACATAGACTCATCATTCATCGCCTCCCTTCCAAAAAGATTCGCACTTTACCCAATTTACATACATAACTATATTCACTCACATATAACTCTATTATAATAAAAGGTATTGGAAGACGCCTTGAAGTGGTTAAATCAATGGGAAACAGATACACAAAATGGTATTATTCCAGACGATGAGTTTCTTAGTAAAGAAACCGCGCATGGATTACGAGTAACTATCAAATCTACATTAGATTTATGCAATTATCTAATTGGAAAATACGGTTTTAAGTACTTATTGACTGGCAAAGTAAATCAGGACAACTTAGAGGTTTGTTTTTAAAGTGATGTTATAAAATATAACAGAAATTAAATATAATTTCTACGTATACGAGTATAGCGTGTAGTAATAATCGGTGTGTAGTAATATATAAAAGTATTTGAAAATAAAACTTAATTTTAACTTAATAGTAAAAATAAGTAAAAACTAATTTTACTTAAAAATGTTCTTCTTTTAACTAATAACAAATTTGGTATATGTATAATAAAATTTGGGGTTTGCAAACAAATATACGTGAAAATAAAATAAAAACATTTAATTTCTTAGCATGGCTGTACTTTGAATCTTACCATTTCTTACATTTTAAAACTTTTTCATAAATTAAAATTTTTGGCCATACTAGTTATATCATTGTAACTATTTAATGAGAGGAATGTTATATTTATAGAAATTTTTTGGCACAATACGAGGAGCTGCTGGGGCTAATGAGCATCCTAGCTGTGCAACATTTTTACTACTGTATAAGTTATTGTCGGTTTACAGTATAATTAGGCCACCAAAATATGGCAACTGCACAGTAAGTGAAAAAATAATTGAAAACGTTATAAGCGTTTCTGAGATATTAAGGAGATTTATGGAAAATCCAAGTCAGCATCAGCTGCAACCATATGTAAATTAAAAACCAAAATTGATGACATTATAAGAAATGAAGATTGGGAGGTTGATGAAGTTATCGAGCACGATTATACCGTATCCCCAGTTCTAGACTGCATTATTTATTATGTTACAGGTTCTTTTTTATATAAATTAATTAGCACAAAAGTAAACGACCTAGTGCTCAGATAGAAACCTATGTTCGGACAAGAGAAGTTTTTAGTTTTCTTTATTGTTATTGATTTATATTTATTATATTTGTTATTGATTTAGAATTATAAAACAGAACTAGAGTCGTTTCATCTATTTCTGTTGTTTTTAATTAATTAAATCAAACATAAGGATCGAAAAACTGCGCTTGTCCAAACATAGGTTTGTGCTCGAGTATTCTGTCTTTTACGTTACATGCTTCTGCTTGCTTTAATACTTTATGCTTTTTTTTACTTAATGCTTATTTATAAACCGCTTTCATAAGCACGTTACAAAACAGTAGATAATTTGACTAATTGTCACTAACAATCTCTTTATACTCTGCTTGTAGAATGTATTTTGTAACATTCCCCAGAAAAAAGCAAAGAAAGGTATTAAAATTTAAATTTATTTTATTAATTATTTTTACTTGTTAGTACTTACGTGATAATTTTTTGTAAAAAATGAATTACTTTTAAGCGCAATTTTGTAAATATTTAGGCATATGAACCGCTTGTATACAAAAAAAATGTTTACTATTCCAAAACTAAATATCGATTATTACTATCATATTAACATTATATGTATAATACGCTGAATATTTAAAAAATATTGTTTCTACTAATTATAATGACAGTTATAATGTGACTACGATTTCATTGTGTGTGAGAGACTTCACGAACAAAGATGGATTTGAATTTATGATCACTTATTGATATTTGTGATATTACTGGCACCGCTTCTTAAGAAGCTTTGGCAGGCAACGATGGAACTGAAACTACTAAGTGGGAAGTTAATGTCAGTAGATGCAGCTCTTATAAGGGGACGTTCAAAAAAAATACGCAACGCTTTTTTTCGATAATTTGTGACCTCCTCTCCCCTTCCCATGTCACACTTTTCAACACCTTTTTACATAACCGAGCTTGG